TACCCCCCCACCTCCTTGCTGACAGCCCAGCCAGCGCTCGCAACAGCAGCAGCGGCGCAAGGGACGGCTCCTCTCTGCGGAGGTTCGCAAGGGTTTTTAACCACAGTCGGTCGCTCACGTCCGCTGAAGCTAGGAAAGCGGGGTCATCGCACACGCGCCTCCTTGCCGCTGCGTGCCCGCGCGCTTCCAGCATCCAGATATTTTCAGCTGGAGAAAGCAACTTTTACATGTTTCCCAGCCTTACCTGCTTCTCCTCTGACCCTGCGCTGATGCAGCCCCCCCGCTCCGGCTGCCAGCACCCACCCCACACGCCCTTGCAGCCCCCCTGCACCCGATGACATCCCCTGCTCCTGCGAAGGCACCAGCGGGACCCCCAGGCCAGACCCCGTTTCCACGGAGGGTCGGCAAAGCCAGCCAGCCCTGCGGGGCGAGATGCGACTTGGGGGATGGCCACCAGCTGCGGCACGCAGAAACGGGGACGCGCGCTGTAAAAAGCAGTAGCGCTCGCTGTACTGTAGTCTGGAGAGGGGCAGGAATGAGATGGAAGAGCAAAGACACTGGACTCAGAGCCAGAGAAGCCAGGTTTCGGGAACCGCTTTGCTCCCAGCACAGCTGGCTCAGCTGAGACAAGTCGCTCTTGATTGCAATCAGATCTTCTCTCCAGCCAGCGCTGCACGATTGATTTGCTGCTGGTCTGGCAGGAGTGGCTGGGTGTTTTTATGGAGTCATCGTGACTCAGGAAGGCAACACTCCCTCCCTCTGCATCTGCTCTCTCCGGTCTCCTCCTATACCGGTTGGTGACTTATTTTTCCCCCGGCAGCCCGCACACAACACTGCTCCAGCAACAAAAACTGTTGCTTTCCGCAAGCACTGTTTGGCAGCTCTGTAAAGCAATAACAAGGAAGATAAGCAGCCTGCTGCTGTCCCTACAAAGACATCTCCCCTCTCTCCAGAGAGGTTAATCAATGAAAGAGGGGCCACACTAGTACTAGTTTAAGTATTCCACACAAAAATGAAAGACTTTCCCATTTGACCATAATGACAACATTGAAGTAGCGAATGTAAAACCCTCAGAGCAGCTACAGCTGGGCATAAGGACACGATGAACTCGATGCACTTAGTATCACAGAGTTTTAGTTATCGAGGTCTGAGACCAAGGTCAGGCAGAAAGTAAGTCCAATCAGGGCGGGTCACCCAGGGCCTTTCTCAGTTTTGAACTCCTCCAAGGACCGAGATCCCACCACCCCTCCAGGCTCCTGTCCCAGGGCTTGGCACTGTCCCCACCCCCAAACAACAGTGAGGTCAGTACCCTTTAGCTGAGGATTACATGGTGAAAAGCAATTTTAAGTCACACAGGCTGTTCTGCTCACTGTGTGGCTTGCGACTGTAAAATACCACAGTTTATTGCCTAGTTTTGCATGTTGTATTTATTACGCATGTCTTGGAAAACTGTTTTAAGCTTGTAGCAACAGAGGGAGAAATTATTGCAGGAAGATGAAATAGTTACGTAAGCCGTTGGGAAAACTTTTCAGCGCCAAAAAAAAAAATCCATGGATCAAACATGCAGTGTGTATGCAGCAGTAATAGTATTTCACCTGAAATACTATTACCAGCGTGAATGTAAAGGAAGTGGTGTGGAGAAATGCTTGAATGATACTGAGGTGATCTGTCTAACCCTCGTTTTATGGTACTGCATCGTGATTTGAACTCAGCTAAAGATGTCTAGGAAATATGTATGAAACAAAATCATAACAAGCATAGTAGAATTCGTTTTAATAGAGACATTATGTTACATTCATTTATAGCAGTGAGAAAAGTGCTTCAGAAAAAGATACCCAAGTAACTGCAAGCTACGGCAATACAATCGTCTGATTCCTAGTATTTCATACATAAAAGGACACTGTCAGATCAAGAAGTCCGTTGCTTTACCACAGAGCAAGTTGAAGACAAGTAGTTGTACAGTGAGGAGGAACTGTGTGCTTTTTTTGCATTTCATGCAGTTTGGACAGTAGGAGCCATGCCCCACACCATCTGAACTTTCTGAAATTCTCAGAAACTAAGGACTTGCTGCAATATTTAGTCTGCAAAACACTGGGCAGGATATCAATATAAAAGAGAAGGGTGAGTTTTTTTTCCTTTTTTTAAAAAAAGGAAAAAAACCACCCAAAAACATTCCTACATCCTCCCTTCTCCCACAATGAAATTAGATACCATAAACAAAAAAAAAAAAAAAAGTCAGGGAAGGCTAGTCCCTGCATGACTTGAAGGTCCTTCTATGAACAGCTGCACTTTAGCAACTATCTCAGGCTTAGCAGGATTAGTTGGCCTGATGGCAATCCTGCAGAGACAACACTATGTGCTTCACTTCACGTACTGAACCATCAACATGTCAAGCTACGTATGTGTCTAAAACCCTATGACACCCAGGCCTCTGTAAATGTATAAACAAATTAGGAAGAAATCGGCATAAATGCAATGGCAGCTGGCAAGGGAATCTAAACGAACAGACACCAGGTCACGAGGACCTGTGGGAGGGCAGCCCTGCAGCTTGATTCTGAAGCCATTCGTCATGCATACATACGCACACCAGGCTTGCTTTTGAAATGAATTCTGTACACACAGTGTGTGCACGCGTGCCTACAAATCAGACCGAGGGATGCAATTTCTGCAAGCTCATTCTTTCCATCCATTTGCTTGATGGCTCTGAGGCCCCAGAACAAACACGTTGTTTAAAAGGAACAGGACGTACTTATGCAAAACTTTGCAGATGGCAGCTTTATGTAAGGTATCATCTCAAAGCTACCAATTTTCCCCATGAGTTGCAACCAGAATAGCTATACCTCCACCCTGTGTTACGCTCGGAGCCTCTGTAAGCCAGATCAGCCTTTGGCTGCCCCAAAATATGTTCTGCTCTGCCAGCTATTGCTTCTACATCTCCTTTTGCATCTCATTAGTTATTCGCCTAGGTTGCCTTTTTTATGATGCAGTAAAACCCTCTCTAAAAGAGGGCATTCTCTCAGACTAACCTTCTCAGGCTGTCACACACTGCTGGACGGGGAATTTCCTTAAGAGCCTGACCATGCTGTGGCAGGTATTACTTTGGGCATGATGGGTTTGAATAAATTTGTTACAGAGTTTTTTTTTTTGTTTAGAAAACAGTCTCTTCCACCGTAGCGTTTTCCTTGACCAGCTGTATGCAGTGTGCATCTTAATCACTGCTCCTCCAAAGTCAGCCTGCATTTTCCATCTTGGGCAGTATTGTATGATTCACAGTTTGTACACTTCATGCCTAGGAGATGGAACTGCACTGTAGACCTGGCATTGCAATCATTACAAAGGATCTACACACGTGAGAGAGAAGGGGAGAGAGAGGCTTTAGCATCAACAAGACACTCAGCAATACACGACAAGTATGCTTTCAGCAACCACAGAACTGGTTTGCACTTAGGGCACAAAGCAGGGAATATTTTCCTTCTAAAGGCAGCCAGGTGTCTCAGCAGAGGAATACACAAGGCAGATTTAACGTTTCAGTTTGCAACTACCAGGATCACCTAGCACATGCAAGGAGCATTTTAGTATGGCACAGGGACTCCTTGCATAGGTCAGGTACACATCAGCTTTGGCTTTTGCTCCTTTTCTTGACGGAGGAAAACACCAGGAAAACCCTCAGGTGAAAACGAGAGGGGATTAACAAGAGCTAGCAACATTAAGCCAGTCTGCTACACAAGACAGACAGTGAATGTTCCTCTCAAAATAGGCAGGAAAGCGATTTTTCAAAATACCCGGACTCAAAAGAGTAGGTAGGGTTGGTCGTTTGAACCAGATGACCAGATGCAACCAGAACACTAGATGATGACCAAAGCTGTGTAATTCAGTCTTAGTAGCAAACAGCATTCAGTGTCACAGAGTTCTGCGTTACCGCAGAGAAACAAAGATAAAATATATTTGCTATCTGCTAGCCTTGCACATATTAACAGCTGAATATTTCTGCAGAAAAACAGCACGTTTATTCTGAAACCTGAAGCTCCAAGCTCTTAAAAAACAAGCTGCTGCTCTTTGCTATGACAGCACCTAGTACAGCACCGCGTGAGAAAGCAGGATGCTTCCAGAGACTGAACCATTTTCCCCGTGTGATACTATACCACTAAGATGCTGGAGGTTTCTGTGGGTCTTTTAAATCCCCCTTCTTAGTTTTTTAATCAGTAAACGAGTACCATAAACCTGCACAAGAAATTTTTTCGTCATATCCTAACAGTCACTTGGATTTCTGATACAGAGCAAGTTTCTCATGCCCTCTGCCGCCCATAACGGAAAGGCACAGATCTGCCCAAAAGAGACATCAGTGCAAGTCTCATCACTTACCTCCACCATCATGTTCTGATACTCTGTGGGCATAGGAGTCTGTGCTACTTCGTCATCCAGCTGGCGCCAGTACCTTGTCATATCTAAAGCCGAGTGCATGCACAAAGGACATCTGTAACCTCTGGCAAAAATATTAAGAAAACAAAAAAGAAAAAAAAAAGGACAGGTTTCTTACCACGACAGTAAAGGAGAAACAGAACCAACTGGAAACTCCTGCAGAAGAGGTGGAAATTAAAAGCCCCTTTTCCCCCTAGGAGTTGCCTTTAAATAATGGGTACTGGATTGGCATCGTGATCTTTGCCTCTCCCAAGTAATCTGCCTAGATTACTACAATCTTAAAGACAAGAAAGGGTTAGAAATACTTACTCCTTTAACATGTCCTCGTAACACGTTCTGAAAAGAAAACACAATGAGAAGTTCAGTAAGAAAAGTGGAATTACTGAATGGTAACCCATGTGGACAGAAAGGAGGAGAAAAGCACACAGCTATCCCCAAACCAGAAGTCAAAAATATCCTGGGTTAAAGTGGAAAGAAGGCCTCTCAGGAAAAGTGTTTGGTATTTAGGCAAAATCATGAGACAAAGCACGTTTAATGCCTTTCTGATGTCTTGAAAAGTAAGATGAAAGAACAGAGTCGGCAATACAACAATGTTGGTTTGGTTACAGTTCGCTGAAAAAAAAGGCTGTGATGCATCACAGGATAACTTCAAGATGGACAGGAATCAAAGGAAGGTTCAATTTGGGGAGGCTTGACATTGTCAAACGTGGAGGCCGTTAAATCAGCTCACAGAGGCAAAGGGGAAAACCAAGAAAGCCAACACAGCAACAAGAAGCTGTTTCTGTAGGACACTGCACAAAGGAAAAACATCACGTCAAGGCTACACTGGGAGCAGGATGGAAGGGAAACCCATGGCCTTCTTGTAATTACTCCTCCAGAGGCACCCAGCGCTGTATATTACCACACCATAAAATCCTGACAGAGCGGGCAGTTTTTGTAGAGAAACAAAGCATTCAGTGCTCCTGGTGGCTGTGTAAGGAGAAAATTTAAGACTTAATGCATGAACTGGCACCAGCCTCTTAAACCCATTGTGCAACTGCTTTCTGCACCAAGAAGAGATTTCTCTATGGGATTCTTTAGATTTCAGTAACAGAAGGAAATTCAACATAGGAAAACTCAAAATAAACAGGAAACAGGCCCCTCCACCAACAAGATTTACTGGACTTTGGAAGAAAGCTATCCTTTCTGAAGGAAGCACTTTCTGATGAAATACAGGCTGTCTCCTACTACCTGGGTCCCTTAGAAACCAGCTGTAATAACTCAGACCAACCAGGCCTGTCGTAGCGCTGAGACAACAGCACACACAACGCAGTAGGTACTCTCAACGCTCAAATTTCTGAAATACTTTACCTGTGAAGAAGGTGACCACATGGCAGAACATGAGCTCCAACACGAGACGTGTGAATGTCCTGTTTCAAGACAAATAGTACACAAAAGAACCATTAACTACAAACACAGCAAGAAGCACAAGCAAACACAATTTTAAGAGAGTTGAATAGAAGCAGCTCACCTCCAAACATATTGGACAATCTTGCCTGGAGACGTTTTCGATGCACTTTACAAAAACAAAGAAAAGTTATTCTACTGCACAGATAGCTGCATTTTTAAAGTCTAAAATTCCTTTAGAATAAATAAAGAGGTATAAGCCTTACTCTGTTCATTTAGGGTTGAAATTCTGAGAATTAACAACTACTCTAGTCTAATAAAAAAAAAAAAACTAGCTTGAAATAACATGCAAGAAATTGTTTCCAGGGCCCTCACAACCATAGATAGCCTAGCTCTTCCTATACTACAGCAGAAACAGCAGCTCAAACAGATGTGTTGCTGTGTCTGCAGTGAAGGCAGAGAAGAACATGACTGATATTTATATATCCTGTAGCTCAAAGCCCACCCAGAAGCATTCTGTGTTGCTGTTCAGGAAAGACGCATTTAGAGAAGGAGGAGAGAGCCTGCCGCTTCCCCAATCTGTATAGCCTTAGATCAACTCGAGGCACTTCTGACTGCAGGAAAAACATTTTTGTTTTGTTTGTTTAAAAATGACAAAGTGGTATATTCTCACCTTGTGTTTCCCTCGAAGACTCAAACTTAGGCATAAATTACACTTTGAACAGTGGAAGAAATCTTCCTTCGGGCCGATCCTAAGGAGACAAGGCCCAGTCAAGAACAGCTTAGGACTTTGCACGGCTCTGCTTTGTTTTCCACCCAAACGCTCCCCAAGTGACAGAAGCCTAATTCCCAAGCCAAGTTACCTACGGAACAGCCGTAATTCGTACGGACTGCAGACAAGCTCTCGTTCTTAGCAACGTTTTGCCACGACTGAAGTAAAACACGGGCCTGCTTAGACTGCAAAGAACAAGCGCAAGCCTCTGCC